ATAGATTTTGTCCACTCCAACTTCTATGGAGTCCATTAGCCCATTTATGCAACTATCTTATAATTACAATATCAGTCCCCCAAGTTTAATTAATCTCTTTTAGCCACAAAATTAATTCTTTACTAATATTAATTAAACAATATGATTTCTCTTTTAATATATTATTCATATAATATATTAATAAATCATAATTAATCCTCTTTCTCCTTAGTTCATCCTATCAATTGCTATGGTGAAGGCAACCCAAAAGGACCATGCTCACAATCGGGTCAAGTACATACCAAAATAGTTATGGGCTTAGACACCTAATCCAACAGAATTAAAACTACGCTTGCTGGCATCACTTCATGGAATTTATCACGAGTGGTCGCAAGACGATAATATCATATAGTCTTTAAACCTAGATATATGGTTTATTGTTTGCGAGTTGGTTATGCATTGATAATGCGTAAACGCATCAGTAACTTGATGTTATAAAACGCATTGTTGTGCATGATTTGATGAGTGAATAGTAAATGCATATAAGTCAAAGTTTATCTGTTCCTTTTATCCTATGAGGCTAAAAGCGATATCTGGGCCCCTCGATGATTTGGTTTAACTTATGTGTTGGGCCCGGTCAGGACTGAATTGATGTGTTCAATTATGTTCTATGTCAGACGAATCAGAGATCGAGAAACAAGCTGCTGGACAATAAGTATGACTATGTTCCATGTATTTGTCCGCACAATATTTTAAGAACGGAGGATTATACGATCCCTTGTCTAGAGGACGAGTCAAAGTTCGACAACGGCTTTTGAGAGCTACGATTGCTAATCAGATCCTGAAGTCATACTTGCATTTATAGTTATTAGACTTATCTAAGTGGGAGACTGTTGGATTAGTGTCTAAGCCCATAACTATATTTGGTATGTACTTGACCCGGTTGTAGCATGGTCCTTTTGGGTTGCCTTCACCAAAGCAACTGGACAGGTTGATTTATGGGGAGAGAGGATATTATGGTTTATTAATATATTATATGAATAATATATTAAAGGAGAAATCATATTGTTTAATTAATATTGGTCAAGAATTAATTAAGAATTAATTTTGTGGCTGAAAGAGATTAATTAAATAAAAGGGACTTGAATTGTTAGTTATAAGATAACTGAATTTGGGTTGTGGATCTTGTGGATTAAGGGAGTGGACGATTTTAAGGTGGGATCCCACTTAGAAATCGTCCAAGGGCCCTATTCCAGAAGGTTCTTGGAGCTGCTTAGGGCCTAAGCTATCCAATTAGGGTTTTGACTGAAACCCTAGCAACTCATCTATTTAAGGACCCCTAGGGCTGCATATTTCGGCTACCAGAAGAAACCCTAGAATTCCTATAGCCGAAATTGTGCCTCCATTCCCTCTCTTCTAGATTATCTTCTTTCCTTGGTGTTTGTAAGCCATTAGAGGTATTACACTTGTGATACTAGGCCCTCGAAGCTTGAAGATTCTTGCAACAATCAAAAGGTAAACATTTAAATTTGTTTTATATGTATTTCGATTTTGATATGCTAGATCTAGGGTTTGTAAGCTTTGGATAAAAATTACATGTACAATAAAGAAACCTAGATCCAAAGCTTTAGGGTTTTGCATGTGCACATAGGAATGTTCTTTTACTCAAAACCCATCAGTTTCTATATGTGTAATGTGTTTACTATAAATATTATTTGTACATTACATGAAATCTCTTTCGGAAAATATGTTACTTATTTGAGTTATTGCTTGTTAACTTGAAAACTATTTATCATCTTTCATGTACATACATTTTGGATGAGAGACTATGAGCGTCCCTTATTATATCCATGCAGGATTTCATAATTAGGTGCCAATATAACGATTTTTAAGTATATTTCTAGATAATCCTGAGGTTGCACAAGTGAGGATAGCTACCATTTGTGTAGATATTTATGTAATTTTGTCAAAAGCATACCTTATACCTAAATATTATATAAAAATCGACACATATTAGTTTATTTTCTATAAGAAAAAAACAAAGATAATTATGAAATGTAATAAGTAATTCCATTCATCTATCACTCTACATTTAAATCAAACAAACTCTATGATGTGACAATCACTTACACTAGGTTAGTAATTTCTTAGAGCAAACTCCCATTTGTATATGTAAAAGACAATGTTGTCTACAAACAACAGAGAAACATTTTATGATAAATATTATTAACTAGGAGAAAACCCATGCTATGCAATGGGATGTGATTTTTTTTCATGTATGTGTGTTGCTTTCTGTTTTTATTATTAAGTTTATAATGTTTACATGTTTCGTAACTGGACTTCCAATGTTGGTTTTATTGTTCATTTATAGTAGGGACGTCATTTTGGTTTTAAGTTATATATAACTGAATTCAATTCTTGGATATATATATATATATATATATATATATATATATATATATATATATATATATATATATATAATTAGACCAAAGTGAAGGATCGAAGTTTATATTAAGGCTAGTGGACACATTAATACAAGTCTAACATTAGTTGATTAGAAACTAACAGCAATGCATGTTGTAGTAACTATATAACGAGTTAATATGGGAAGGAAATTTAATTTGATTTGTAAAGAAAACACATATGTGCTATTACTAAGGTGTCAAAAAGGTATCTAATATAAAATGACATATGAGTTCGGGTTATAAAGTTGTAAAGTGGTCTTTGATTCATGTTTAAAAGTGATAGTAGGATGAGAGTTATAAGTTAGCATCAAATAGTCATATACTTTAAAACATTATCTACTTATAGTTTTAGTGGCTACACTTTAAAACATTAGTTGTCTATGTTGGAATTACTTTACAAAAACTTGGCATACTTTTGTTAAGATTTGGACAGTTCTACTGACGTTATGTCTTTTACCTAAATATTTTACATGGAAAAGATAGAAAAAGTCTCCTCTGTTTTGCTAATTCTTGGAACTTTTAAATGTACCCCAAATATGTAATGCTCGGTGTGAAACGTCTATGTCAGATGATGCTTTGCAGATTGTGTTGGCATTTTGATGTCTGGATTGGTTTTGGTTCATCGATCATTTAGTGAAATGATATTAGAGATGTTGTTTGGTTAAATATTTTGTGTCATAGTGTTTACCTGCAATGTCGTATGATAACATTCTAGCAGTCTTTGGCAGTTGAGATTGGGACGATGATGAAGTTGGATTTGGAGTTGGTACAGTCCGTTGTGGAATGTGTAGTGTTGGTGTATCTGGAACTGCTGATTACCTGAGGGGTGTTTCAATTTCAACGTCAATTATTGTAAAACGCACATTTTTAGCAGTTGAATTTTTTGTGATCTGTAACAGCCATTTCTTTTGTAAACATTTGCAATTCTGGATGAAATCTGGCAATTTTTTTCTATTAGTTTGTCAATATTGTTGTATTGCCTTTCCTGATGTCATATCAGTCAACTTTTGGATTGTGTTATCGAATATGTTTGCAGTTATGGAGTCAGTGCGGTCCAAAAGTGTTGTAGAAAGTGTGTATCTGTTTGCATATGGATGTATATGTGGTTATTTTGAAATTAGAAGGTAAGTTCATTAATGAAATTGATATCCATTTATTACTACATTTATTGTAATTATTACATTAAAATATTATATGAAATTTAATAAAATAAGAAAAACCCATAAAATGACACGTGAAAAAAAAATTAATTCAAAATAACCACAAAATGACATTTGACAAATTGAATGAGAGTGTGACATGTGACAAAAAATCTTTATTTATTAGAGTAGATTTTAACCCCAAAAACAAATTGAAAGGAGATCTAAAATGTATCCATTTGTTTCTTTAATATAAAAAAAATCAAATATCTTTCTATATTTTTTTTCTTATTTATCTTTTTATTTACCGGATCAAAACAAGTATCAAAATTAAAAAAATAGATTAAGGTTATGTTTGACAGACTAGGTGAAAAAGCTAGCTGGTAGCTGAAAGCTGAAAGTCTAGTTGGTAGCTGAAAAGCTAGCTGTTAGCTTATAAACTAACCGAAAAAAAATGACGTTCGGTAAAACTAACTGATAAGTTAGTTGAAAGATATAAAATGACATAAAAGTACATTTAGAGGAATATTTTTTTTTATAATTAACTAAAGTTATGTTTAGCGCACCTAAGGCTGATAAACTAGCTTATTTTTCGAGTTTTTTTTTTAATTTTTTTTCCAAATACACCCTTAATTAATTATAAACATCATATTTTGCTAAATGTCCTTTTATGTCATTTTATATATTTTAGCTAGTTTATCAACTAATTTTTACCAAATGTCATTTTTTATCAAATAGTGTATAAGCTAGCAGTTAGTTTTTTAGATAACAACTAGTTTTTCAGCTAACAATTAGCTTTTCACTTAATACACTAAAAAAGCTATTCAAATTAGCTTTTCAAAAAACTAGCTTATAAAATAGATCATCTATTTTTTTTTTAATTTGCCAAACATGACAACTAAAAAAAAAACTCAAAAAATAAGTTAGCTTATCAGCTAGTTGTGACGTGCCAAACATAGCCTAAAAAGAGAATTAAATCATCCATAATGGTGAGATCAATGTGAAAGTTGAATGAGATGACAAATGAATTAAATTAAACTCTACCATATTAAGATGCCACATTAACATTCAATGAATTTGGAGTTCAATGACCATTGAATTTTTCAAAGGGAAAAATGAAAGTTATTAATTCTTAAATATATACTATAAATTACCTTTTGTAATTTCTATAGAACTTAATATAGTTCAATACATTATAGAAAAAAAATAATAAAATTATATGGAATATAAAAAAAATAATATGACAATCAATTGAATTCTATATAATAGAAAGATAAGTAGAAAGATTGGATAGAAAATATATTTAATTTTTTCTTAGAAAAATATTTAATTTTTCTTTCAAAATTTTTTACGAATTACCAAACTACAATCATGAGTACCATTTGGCAATGTCCTGCAACAAAACACCAACAACATAAAGGAACAAGTGAATCATTCGACCTCAGCATCATGAAATTAGACGAAAGAATGTTGAAACGCTCCGTGGGTAGTTCTCCTTTAATTTTATTAATTTTCAGTTGTCAATTCATTAAACAAAACCCACCTACATTGGGATTCTGAAAACGGTGGTTGACTGAAAGCACTATACATGGCTGCCATATGTTAAGTTATGGAGCATTGTTCGGTCTCTCCGAAGCCCAATCCTTCCGCCACTTCTTCTGCTCACACACACACATACACACACTCAACAGTTTTGAGGAACGCGTGCTATGAATTGGTGATTATTTCAATGGTTTCTCGGTTCAAATTTGACCTTTTCTCTACCCATTTGTTATCTACCCCAAAGATTCCCATAAATCTTTGAACCCTAGCTCCGTGGTTTTGTAATTGAACATGCAATCTGGAGATTGATCATGAATGTTGCTGCAAATTCCGAGCGATGCATGTGGTGGAGTCTGTGAAGGTATTTGTGAATTTCTATTTGATTTGTGTGATTATCTGAAGAATGTCGAACATTGCTATGAAATATTGCTGTTTATTTGCTGAGTTTTGGGAAATCAACAACAGGGAAGCTCTGTGTTCATCGAGGGTTTTGTTTGGCTGATTATTATTGAATTTGTTTGTAAATATTCAATATTTTATGATAATATTAGATTTGTGTAATTTGAATTCAGATATCTTTCTGCTATAATCTAACAACAAATCACTACATTTATGTTTTCAAATTCATGAAATCCCAGAGGTGAAAGACAATTAAAATGAAAGGGCAATGCAACAATTCCTTGAAGATGTTACTGAGCCTAGGAATCGACGATTTACATGATGATAGCTTTGAAGGTTCCCCGAACGAAGACACCATTTTTAAAGATGTGTTCTTTGGGCACGAAAATGGCAGAAGTAGCAAAAAGTGTCTTGTAACAGGAGCAATCAATTTCGAAAATGACGATAATACCCCTAAGAATTCATCGTTTCCATCAACCGGTGAACATTCGATTACGACAACTCAGGAAGATTCCGGTAGCCTCTCTGAAGAATTCGTTTCAATCAAACGGAGAAAGGTCTCGCTTCCAGAACATTCTATTCCCGATGTAGAAAAGATCGTTAATTCTGAAACCCCATCAAAAGAAACCGATTCTTGTTCATGCCAACGGAGTTCTATTGTCACGTGTCGTTTGGTTGAATCATCTCTTCATGGTGTTAAGTCCAGATGTTATCTACTTAAAGGACACGTGTCAGATCAGAATGCCACCAAGTGTAGATTATGTTGCTTCAACACAAATTACCCACATGATTCACCCGTTAAATATTACAAAAAATTACAGAAAGATTCTTGTTATTTGGAACTCGATGAAAAAGATGATCAAGATCGAAAGATTCATCCTTTATCGGATACCACTTCTTGCCAAACAATTAACGTCGATGAAGATGAAAACGAAGATGAAGATGAAGATCAAGAAAGTTGCAGAAAACTTTCGTTTTCTTCTTTTGAAGACGAAAACAACAAATCAGAGTCTAAATTTAAGCGTCTAAAGCGTAGAAAAGGAAAACCCAGTGAAAAACGAAAAACCCATGTCCGAAATGTTTCAAAAAAGTACAAAAATCGGATGAATAATTGCAGGTTGCTTCCACGTGGCAACGATGAAGATCATCATTTGAAAGAGAATTGTTTTCCCATTGGTGTAAGAACAAGAACAGTGTTATCCTGGTTGATAGATTCTGGAGTTATTCAAGTCAATGAAGTTATCGAATACAGAAATCCGAGGGATAATTTCGTAATTAAACATGGTTTAATCACGCGAGATGGTATTCAGTGTGGATGCTGTGGTAACAAGTTTTCTGTCTCTAAATTCAAGATTCATGCTGGGTTCACCCTAAATTGCCCATGTTTAAATCTTTTCATGGAATCCGGAAAATCGTTGACTTTATGTCAATTGGAAGCTTGGTCAACGGAATATAAAGTCAGAAATGGTCCCACACAAACTGTAAATGTTCAAGAAATCGATCAAAATGATGATAGTTGTGGTCTTTGTGGTGATGGAGGCGATTTAATATGTTGTGATAATTGTCCCTCAACTTTTCATCAAGAATGTTTATGTTTACAGGTTTATTCATTTGATTATTTATTATTATTATTATTTTAATATTGAAAATTATAAAGTTTTTAATTTTTTTTTTTACCTTTTTAGGAGCTACCTGAAGGTGATTGGTATTGTCCAAATTGTTCTTGTTGGAGATGCGGGAATGTGGTCGATATTCATAAGGCCAAAATAAAAAGTGTTTGGAAATGTTTACAATGCAAACATAAATGTAATTTTCTTCACTTAAAATAATTTATATTTCGTGTTGATGGTTGTCTTTTTGACTGAAATTATGGTGCTTGTAAACAGACCACAAGGAATGTGTTAGGGAGATTGAAGTCGGAATTGGGATGGAACCTTCTACCTGGTTCTGTAGTAAAAGCTGTAAGGAGGTAGGAATGGAATCCACAATTCCGACTTTTGAATAGATGTCTAAGGAAAACTCTTCAATCGGGTTTTTGATTTTAAGTTCATTTTGGTATCTTATCTTTTATTACAGATTCACTCGGGCCTTGATTCCAGAGTCGGAATGATGAATTCCATCTCTGATGGTTTCTCGTGGACGCTTTTGAAGTGCACTCATGGAGACCGGAATGTCCTTTCCGATCACCATTTTGTTGCCCTGAAAGTGGAATGGAATCTGAAATTAGCAGTTGCCCTTACAATTATGGAGGAGTGTTTTCTTCCCATGATTGATCCAAGAACCGGAATCAATTTGATACCCCATGTACTTTATAATCAAGGGTAAGTTAGTAATCTCACTAAATTGATAAAATTTGTAATATGAGGGCGTAAATTAGTAAAAAAACGTAACTTCATGGCATAAATTATATGTAGGTCTGAATTCGCACGTCTAGACTATGAGGGATTCTATACAATGGTATTGGAGAAAGATGACATGTTATTAAGTATAGCATGTTTAAGGTACCTCCAAAAACAATCACCTTTCCAAATTTAGTATTTTAGAGTTATTTTGATGATGTGGGAATGGAGGGCATTATTGTCTTTTGCACATACAAGAGATTGAGAGTGAGTCGTTGTCCCACATCTGGTTCCACTTTTTTTGTGTGGGACAAAACATTGCAACTTTTGTCTGACAGATGACAGATGACAGGATCGTTAAATGCAATATATGATATTTTTTCATTGTTGTGTAGGATTCATGGGATAGGAGTTGCAGAGATGCCCCTAATTGCAACATGCAACAAATATCAAAGACAAGGAATGTGTAGGCGTCTCATGAATGCTATTGAAGAGGTAAATCTTCCATTTGCTTTTTCATGGTCATGTATTCGTTAGAAAAATGTCTCTTTTTGACTTAATGGACTTAACAAGATTTAGGGGTTAGCTCTTTTTTACTTAATGAGCTTAATGAGCTTAATGTGTTAAGCACTTAATGAGCTTAATGTTTCTTTTTGACTTAATACAGCCAGAGAATGACTCAATGGGTTAAGCCAAAAAAAACTCGGCTTAGTGTGATAAGAAACTAACCCTTTACCTATTTGACTATTTGTCTTTCTTCTTTTTCTCAAATATTTTTTAAAATCGGTTGACTCGTTCTTGAATGTTTGACTAATCAACTTGTATATATATAATATTTGGTATCTTTAGATGCTAAAGTCTTTGAAGATTGAGAAACTTGTGTTGTGTGCAATACCGAGTTTAGTGGAGACATGGACAAAAAGCTTTGGTTTCATGCACTTGGAACCTCAAGAAAAGAAGTACTTGAGGAGTATCAACTTAATGGTGTTTCCAGGAACCACATGGCTTAAAAAACACATTTACAAAGGGGAAATCCAAAGTAAGCTCTTTTTTTAACTTTTTGTTTAACCCTAAATAAAGGTAATGGTGACCTAATTTGTCTTCAATGAATAGATACTCCAATGGAAAATGTAGCTTCTTCGTATCGGGGTTTTGGTTTTGTAAAAGATAAGATAATATCCATCAAAGGGAAAGGGAAAGGGAAAGAATCGTTGCAAAAAGATGGAGAACAAGAACATGATTTGAAGGACAAACAACATTCAAGATTTGAAAGAATGTCTTTTGAAATGGTTTGTGGGGTAAAATGATATGATTAGTATGCTAGAAAAATAGATTTTGCTATGAATATATGAAGCAGTCGGGATGTATATATTTAAGAAAGTGAAGGTGGTGGAAGCCAGTTTTGTAGTTTTGGCAACGATATGGACACAAATTGGCTAAACTATAGAACTGTATATATTTGTTTTATTTCGTGTGGCAAATTTGTGTTCAATTTCGGAATGGTTTCTTGCATTATGGATGATTATTTACGTAAATTACATAATATAATGACAAAACTAATGACGATTACAAGTCATATTCTAAGATGAAAGGGGATGTTATGAATTGATATAAATCAAGATGAATTTATGCTTTGGATGGAATAGTCCTAATGATGAGTTTAGCAAGATTAAATAAATCCGATTACCGTTTTTTCTTTAGACTATATGTTAGGGGTAAAATAGTCCAAATGGAGACATTGTCGGACTTTCTCATAAATGAAGGCTTTTTTGCCACTTGTCACACTCTCATTCAAATTGACAAATGTCATTTTGTAGTTATTTTGAATTAATCTTTTTTTTTCCCACATGTCATCTTATGAGTTTTTCTATTTTATTAAATTTAACATAATCCCTATCTTAATAAAAGAAACCCTTTATTCCTATGTGGTATCTCCTAAAGCTAGAATTTTACAAAGTGAATTGTCTATTTTGCCCCTCTCCTTTAAGCTCCTATGTATCCCTTCTATTGGTTTAAAATCGAAATTCCTTCTGGTGTCCATAATTATAATCCCGTGTAATCAGCCATGATTATCTACTCAATTTATCTTTTCCTTTTTTTCCAAGGAATAGATGATATAGCACGATTCATCTTTATCTCGCACGCTGTTGAATGTTTCTTCCGTTTTTTCCAACTTCGATTCGCTGCCACCATGCTCGACCATCACGCTGCCATCAACGCACCATCCACCGATATCCTTACCGTCTCCATCATCCAACGTCACCATCAATTACCACCATCTATTCTCCCATTCTGTTAGGTGAGTTGATTTCTATCAGGTTATTCTTTTATGCGATTTGAACTCATCGACACAACCATAATTTTATTGAAGAAGAGGAAACCCTAGATTCTTCACCACTTTCTGCTTCCAACGCCTCTAAACCCTCTCTATAAATTTTTGCTTTCAACGCCTCTATACCCTCTCTGTAAAAGTAACCTAACTCTTTCCTCTCTCACACCATGGGTCTAACTTTTGTTTGTGTAAGAAACTATAAGTCAATCATTCTTGTAGTGTGGGCCAATGATCCATTAGGATGGGCTAAATAGTTCATGGATAGTCCATGGAGCTTTAACTCATGGAGCCTAAGGGATATGGAAGGTCATGGAGCTTTAGGGTTTCATGGATGAAACCCTAACCTTTGCAACACTATATAAAGACCCTCTTAGAGCCAAAATAGTTGCCTAGTTCATTCTTAGAGAGTGAGGAATGAAATTGTGTATGATAACTTATTCTCTCAAGCCTCCTCTCGCATATGGTGTTTGTGACACATTAGAGGCATCACACTTGAGGTGCTCAAGCTTTCAAAGGTCAAGAACTACAAGTCCTTCTAAGAGGTAAGTCATCTAACTAGTTGTATTGTTCATTTGACAATTTGTATGCTAGTTAGGACAATAATGCATGTATAATTAGATAAAACATAGATCCAAAGCATTTAGGGTTGCATGTGCACTTAGGAAGTGTTACAGTGCTCAAAACCCAACAAAAACAACGTGAGTTTTTGTCATATATTCATCGATTAGGAGAACAATTTGAACTATTTCGAGTTTGGAATTGTGTAGGTCCCTGCTTCGCAAGAAGGTTTTTTGCAGGTAAACAACTAATGATCCCCCTACTCATATTCATGTTATTAAATATTTTGCCCCTAAATTCCTTTCTTTCTCCGCAACAGGTTTTAGATACTAAAGTTCATATTTGAAGGCAAGTTTACAAAAAAATACAGATGTGGTGAGAACAAGACAAAGCATACAATAGACTCAAACACCTACAGTTGGCTACAATGACAGGTTTGTATTGACTCTTTGGTTTTTTTAAGGTGTAACATCCCAAGTTTTGTCATTTGTAGTCCCTGGGGATGGTAGGGTAAAGCCATGAAGAGCCTAAGGGCTAAATTGTAATTTTGGGATCAGGATGAGTACGTTGCGCGTACATAAGGGTACGCTGAGCGTACTAGGGCGCGCCCTAGTACGCTGGGCGTACACTTGTGTACGATAGGCGTACTCATAACAGAAGGAAACCCTAATATCTTGAGTTGGGGGCTATATAAACATCCTTATGGCTCATTTTATTTCCTCCTTCTTAGCCTCCATCTTCCAGAAACGTCCCCAAACCCTAGTTCTTGTGTGTGAGAGTGAGTTGGTGGGTATTTTGAGCTCTTGAAGGTGAAGCCATTGCAACAAATAGTTGAAGAAGGAGATTGGCTTGTAGATCTGACGTTGTGTTGTGCCCTAGAAGCTCCAGAAGGTAAAAAGCTTCAAAATTTATGCTTGTAGGTCATAGATCTAGCCTTTCTAGCATTATGGAACCATTTCTTGTCCCAAAAATCCCAATATGGTGCATGATGCATTTTGGACGAGATAAGCCGTCCTTTCTGGACCTTGAAGAGGTCTTAAGTGATAAAAATGAGGTCCCAATGGCTTAAGATGTCCCATACATGTAGTAGAAGGGTCTTAATGGATTAAGTCCTTAGATTAAGAGCTTTCTGGACGTCCAAAGTGATAAAGTTCGAGACTTTATAATCCTATGGCACATTTGGTCGATGGATCTGGAGTTTGGGCTTAAGTGCTTAAGCCATTAAGCACTTATTAGGGTTTTGGTGAAACCCAGCGTACGCCCAGCGTAAATCCAGTACACCCAGCATACTGGGTCAACCACCCCGATGGCGGTCAACATCTGGACGAGTACGCCCCGCGTACGTCTTCTGTTGGGCCTTTGACAATTGGGCTCGGGTTTTGGGCTGTTTATGGACTAGTCGGATTTGGGCCTTTGCTGGACTTTATGAATATTATGTTTTGGGCCAACTTTTGATAATGGATCTTGAAGTGAGGCCCAATTAGGGAGTTGGGCCCAATTTGGTAAATTGGGTCAATAATGGGTGTTGCTTAAGGGCTTTCAAGGTTATGGAATTGGCATTGGGCCTTGGCCCAATAAAGAGAATGGACATGATGGATTGTTTGGACCCCTATTCAAGATTGTCATGTTGTGTAATGACTTGGTATTATTATGTGATAGTTCGGGATTTCCGGTGAGTTAGCGGTTCGGGAGTTCGGTTCTTCAGTTCAGATCGACATTGCGAGGTGAGGTATCCTCACTATATCAACAGGGTCTAAGGCACCAAGGCCGACCCTTTCTCGGATTGTATACTGGTATTTGTTTGATATGCTTATTGATCTGTTAGATCGGCGTCCTGGTAGTTAGGACGATATTATGTTTAGTGACCTAGTTTAGGTCGGTATCCTGGTATATAGGATGATGCTATGTTTAGTGACCTGGTTTAGGTCGGTATCCTGGTATATAGGATGATGCTATGTTGGTGACCAGTTAGGTCGGTATCCTGGTTGTAGGATGTTGCTATGCTATATGATCTGTTAGATCGGTTTGTTTGTCTATAGACTGTTATGTGATTATCTGTTATATGTGCACATGGTTGTTTGATTGGGGGTTGGGTTGAGGCGGGTCCTGCTTTGTGCTGTAGGCCAACATACCCAGGGCGGACCGGATAGGCTGCAGACCCGGGAGGGCACATAGCCAGGCCGAAGGCCCGGCGAGCGGTCCGGATAGGCTAAAGGCCCCGACAGGGGGGGTCCAGACGTGCCGAGGCTCGGAGAGTGGGCCAGATAGACTGAAGGCCCGGCGCGGGCGATTCAGTCAGATTGTAGACTCAGAGAGTGGACTAGGTGGACTGAAGGCCCGGTGCGAGCGGACCGGTCACACTGTAGACTCGAGATTCATGGCTGTTCTGTATTTGTTGATATGATATGATTATGGTTATATAAGGTTGGTATTTTGGGGGTAACTCACTAAGCCTTCGAGCTTACAGTTTCAGTTTATGGTTTCAGGTTCAGCGGATGGCCGCGGGTAGGTAAAGGCGTGACCGTACACTTCCTCGATTGATGATTATGAGTTCTGGGAACTCTGATGTTTAAACTATTTTGAAAACAAGTTGTAATGACGTGAATGGTTTTAAACGATTTAAAAAGTTTTAAATTGGCTCGAATTTTATGGATGTTACAAGTTGGTATCAGAGCCTTGGTTTGAGTGAATTGGAGGAACACTCGTGTGAATCCAGTCTCAAATCAAGGAAAGATTTTCAAAATGATTTTTAAATGGTTTTCAAAATAAGTAAAGGAGGATGCAAGTGTACGATCAGCCGGAGCCAGTAAGTAGACCCCAAAATACCATACAGTTATTTGATTATGTGATATGATAGAACAGCATGCTAGTACTAGGCTAGGGATCTTTAGGAATTGCATGATAGAATTGCCTGATTTCATGATGCCTGCTAGCCTAGGGTTTTCTTTATATGAGATTGACATTATTACTGTAGTTACTTGTGTATGTATCGCAATTGTACACAATTAAGATCTTATAGCCCGAGAATGTTTGATTTGGCCTTATGTTCTGTTCTTAATGATTAGGGCTTAGGGTAGGATCAGATATTTTAAATTCTATAGGGTCCAGCGTTATGTATAGTTAGCATACACTGGTGCTGCATGGTTTGTGGAAGTTTCATGGATGGGTGGGTAGAGAGAGACCGGGAGGCCAGTTATGAGATATTTAGAATTCCTCTAGGAGTGAGGATTGAGCGCTCGCTATGTTTATGTATAGGTGTTAGGGCATTGTGATGATACTTGAGACAAATATGGGTAGGTGTGGAAGGTAGTATGTGTCCATACTACTGAAAGCACAGGACCAATACGCGTAGTAAGGAAGTCACAATCCCTAGGGTTGGGTTGGGAGTTGGTCCCCTGTCATTATATGGATTGTCAGAGATCTTTATGGAGTCTTACCAGAGTGGTGGTTACGAGACGTCTTAAGACCGGATCCAGGTTAGGATCGGCAGCTGGCAGCCAAGATAGGCCATCATTTTCAGAGGATCGTGTTA